ATTAAAATTTATATTATTTATATATTATTATAAATAATATAAATAGATTGTTCTGGATTAAATTATATAGCTTTAAAGATTTAAATTTACCAGAGAAATTATTTACTGGCTTATATAAGGAATAAAAGTTTAGCTTCTATAATAGATAATATTATTATTTTTTACTTTTTAAATATTTAATTAATTAGTCTATTAAAAAGTTTGTATATATAAGTCTCTGAGCTTATTTTATTTATATTATCTATAAATACTGTATTACTAATTATTTGAAAAATTAGATTTATTTATATTTTTTATATTATTTTATTATTTGAATATTTAATGTAAAGATATCTTAATTTATAAAGATAAAATATCACATGATTTACAGCATTTTGATATTTTAGAAGTGGGTTTAATAAATATTCACTGAATATTTATATTATTTTTATAATATCTGGTCTTGAAATAATAGCTGCATATAATAAAAAGCTAATTTTTTATTAATATAATTTAATTTAAGCAGGATTTACATGTATATTTATATTATTTATTTATTTTTATATATTTATAATATATAGTATTTTTAATGGTTTTTACTTAGTCATATTAAATCAATGACTGATTTTTTTAATATAATCTATTTATAATATTCATAATTTTTGATTTTTTCTGTTATAAATAATATTAATATTCAAGAATTTTATTGCTTTATTTATTTTCTTCATATTATATATAGAGATTAATGAATCCTTGAAATTTTTAAATAGTTTTCAGTTTATTTCATGAAAAATGATGATAATATCATCAATAAAAATAATTAAAATAAGATAATTATTTATAAAAATATAAAGATCTTCATTTACTGGCCGTAGGCCTAGTTTAATAAAGGTTTCCTTGATTATTTTTTACTAGAGTAAAGATAATTTCTGTAATTTATATAAAATCTTCAGTAATTTAAGTATTTTTTCCTTGGCTCTAAAACCAGGGGGGTATAATATATAAATTTCTTTATATAAACAGCTATTTAGGAAGATATTTACTGTATCTAATTAGTATATTTTAAGATTAAAGACTATAATTAATGTAAATATTATTCTTAGGATTCATGATTTTAGAGTTAAAGCCCTAGTTTCTTTCTAAAATAAGTTAGATTAAAGATCTCTCCATATATAAATACAGGCTTTAAATTTTAATAAATTTATATTTTTATTAAATTTATATGTAAAGATCTATTTTAATAGAAAAATTTAATGATTTTTCAGCTTTTCTTCTGATATAAAGGTCTATGTTTATATTATTTATAATTATTAATATTTAATTTTTGCAGCTTCAGTAAATTATTACTGGTAAGAATACTTTTATAATTTTTTTTAATTTATTAGTGGAGCTGGCAGGTCATATTTTTATAATTTTAGTATTTTATTTATAATTCCTGTTATAAATATATGTAAAAATAATTGAATTTATATTATTTATTTAATTTAGTTTATTTATATTATAAAATTTTATACTTGTTTTGATAGTCCAAGGTCAGATAATTCTAATTAATTTTATTTTCTCTCATTTGATCAGATAATTCCTGTAATTTTAAAAAAAGGTCTGTATTATCAATAAAAATAATAGATAGAGTTAGTATTAAAGTAGATAGTTAATTACCTAAAATTTAATTAATTTAATCAGTTTTATCATTTTAAATATTTTAATTAATTTCATTATTTTGAATATTTTGATCAATTTCATCATTTTAAATATTTTAAATATTTTAATTATTTTTATTATAAAAAATTATTGAATTTTCTTCTTCCATATTATTTTAATGAAAATCATGAATTTTTGAATTTTCTTTAATAAATTTGATAATTTCATTGATTTCTTCATTATTTAGGGCTTTAGATAGATTTAGCTCTAAATTATCTTAATGGAATTTATTAATTTTTATATTAGTTTAACTGTATAGTGAATTTTCATTAAAAATATAATCTCTTATAATTATTATTTTTTGCTTTATTAGGATCCAGATTTTCTATATATTTAATATAATATACTTTACTAAATAGCTAATCAGGATTTTAAGATTTAGCTTATTAAGGTGGGGTAGCTTAATAATTTATATATAAGCTTTTGAGCTATACTACTTTAGATTAGCTAAATTAAGTGTTTTTTATATAAAAAGTTTAGTAGATCTTCTAAATATTTATATAGTTTGCTATGTGGGGTTTCCCAATTATTTACTTTATTTAATATTTTATTTAATATAAATATGGCTGTTTCTACTGCTTCAGACTATAAAAAATAAAGTAATCTAGAGTTAACTAATAAAATATATATTTTTTAAGTAATTAGAATTTTAGCTTTTTTTATAAAGATATTTTATTCAGGTTAACTCTCAGAACTTTATATAGCTAGAAAACCTGTTTTTTTACAGAATATAAACTAGTTAAATAAATTTAGGTTATTATCTGAGTAGAATTAATAAGGCTCTACTTTGAATTATATTTATATAAATTATATTATTTATTTTAAAGATTAATAAATATTTATTTTATTTACAAGGGTTTGCCCCAGGTAATATTTAGTAAATAAATTATATATATAACTGATATATTATTTATTTTTAATTCCTGGAGGCATGTAAATAAGATCTTAATATAAATAATTAAAAATATTTATTTTATTTGTATTAATTTGTATGATATTTATTTATTTATATTTATAATATAACAGGTTTTACAGAGGTCAAATTTATCTAATTTAGATAGGTCTGATAAGTAAATATTTAGAATTATTTCTTTAAAATATTTAATTATTTTCTTATCAGGGTGTCCAAGTCTCTGATATTAAAAAAAAAAAGATTTTTTTAAGTAAATTAACTTTGTATTATTTATATAATTTATTATAATTTAGTTTATTTTATTCACTGTTTCAAATATTTATTAATTTATTTGATTTATTTAATTCTATTTAATAAATAGAATACTATTTTTATTAATTTTATATATTTATTTATTTTTATATGTTTCAAGTATATTTTTATATAAATTCAGATATAAATTACCTTTCTTTACTCTGCCTGCTGAGATTATATTTAAATAAAAATAAGATATATATATAATATTTTTTAAATTAAATTTAATTAGTTTATTTAATATACAAATAGTAGGGCTAATATAAACAGTTCTAAATCTCTAAATTTTTATATTAATATTTCTTATTAATACGGCTGTATTATCATTCATTAGATTAAAATCAGTGAATTTTTATATATTATTATAAATATATATATCAGATCCTGTATCAAAGATCTAATTTTCTTGAAATTTTGAGTTATTTAATTTATTTGATATAAATATTTATAAAGTTATAAAATTAAATAAATTATTTTCATTACTTTTATTATAATTTTGATTAATTATTATATATTTTTACTTTGCTTTCTTATATATATATTAAAATTTATTATTTTTATATACTTTTTTAAATCTTTTAATAACTTGTGGATCTGGTTTCTAATTATTTAATTATTTTACTTTATTTATATATAAATATTTACTAAAAAAGTGGATCCTATTATTTGGTTCTTATTTATATAAATATTTTAGCTTATTTACATATTTTAAATAATTTAATGAATAATCTGGTTGATTTTTAAAAATTGTATTTATAATTTTTGATTTGAATTTTTAATTGATTTAATAATTTTTATTAAATTTATGAGTTCTATGGGTTATCTCATAGAAATCAGGAATTAGAAGAGAATTTTCATTTAATTCAGTAATTTTTTCGAACCAAATCATCGAGAATGTAGGTGAAATATTTGATATTAATTCTAAAAAATTATATTATACGCGTAATAGTTATTTAACCTTAGAAATTTATGTTTATTTATATTCAGAATAAAGACTTTCTTATACAGAAATATAGATCTCCAGGCCAGAGTGGGACTGGATCTGTAATAAATAATATTAATAAATTAGATTATATTTTCTTATTTCTGTAATAAAGATAAGTTTCTTCTTTAATATTTATAGAATTTCATATGCATTATTTACATTTAAAATTAATTATTTATAAAAGTAGGGCAGTGAATTATATATAATTAGTAATATTACTAATAAATTATTTAAAATTATCTGATATTCTTTGAATAATATTTTATAATCTCTTATATAATTATGATAAATTTTACATTAATCAGCTAATAAATCAAGAATTATTTAAACTATTTACTTAATTTATTATATTTTTAATTAATTTAGCTTATTTAGTATATTTAATATATTTAATTAATCTAGATTGATATAACTCTATATATGCTTTAATTTAATAAATATTTGAATATTTTTAATCTATGCCGGCCAATCACGTGATGTAATTAATTAATTAATAAGCTTATTTAATTTATTTATTATATTTATTCTGTTTATCTTTTTAATTAGATAAATCAGATTTTTTAATTAAGATAAACTAGACTTATAACTGTTAGATTAGTCCAGGGGTACTAGTCTGAAACAGGAAGATAGTTTAACAGGACTAGGTTAATCAGATAATTAGAGAATCTTGTAAAAGTCTTTTAATAAAAATCTTTATCTTAGTTATATGATACTAGTCCTAATCAGAAAACTAGATTAAAATAATTATAATAATAATAATAATATAAGATTAATATAATTAATAAACTTGTTAAAGAGAAATAACCTTTCTAAATAGAAAATAAATAGATTTTTTAGATAGGAAGTAAATAAATTTAACTTACTTACTTGCTTTAGCTAGAAGATAAAAAATCTTATTTATTATTTTTAATAAATAATTCTAGATTAGAATTATAAATTATTAGTTTAATTATTAGATAAAGAAAACGGGGCAAGCAAGTGGGGTAAAAAATAGTAAATAAAGAATTGAATAATTATAATAATATCAATAATATGAGACTTCATATAAAAGATGATTCATCTTTATGTTATCCATCTTAGCTGGGATTCCCATAGAATTTGTATGGGATTCTCAGCTGAGTTGGGTAGTTAAGAGATGATTATTTTAGTTAGTAAGGATTCCTGGTTTCCAGCCAACAATATCTTTAAAATAAAAGATAAAAAATAATAATTCTTAATAAAAATCTTATTAAGTTCTTCATAATCTACACAGAGACGTAGGCTGTTATTTTTTTTAGATATAAAAAAAATAAATATATTTATAAAGCTCTTAAAAAGCCTGATATAATCTAGATAAAGATTTTTATTAATATACTTTTTAAAAAAT